TTAGGTAAAAAAAAACAACAATTTGAAAATTTTTTCAAACACAAATGCAAAATTTATGAAAATAACCTATCCAGAGAGACTAACTCACTTTCAAAAAGTTTACTAATATATTTTGAATATTGGATTTCTCACGAAAATATTCCAAAAACTGCAAAACAGTTGCTAAATGTACAAACAGCTGTCAATATGTTTAGCAAGGAAAATAATATATTGTTGCCGTAAACTATAAATTGAAAAAGGTGCAATTCTTCGAGTTTTACTATTGGAAATAATAAATGAAGTTTTCCTGATTATAGCACCGAAGCACCTAATGTTAGAGAGACAGGATCAATAACTACACATTTTTACTTACTTCAAAGGTTTCATTCTAATATTTATATTACATTGGTATTATTTCTATAGGAATTCAATCAAGTTAAATGTTTTGTTAAGAAATACTCAATATTTAATTATTGCTGCTTAACAACACGCATTCGACTGTTCTATTTTTTCATAACTAATAAAATTAGAGAAATTGGAGATTAGACGCTTACCATCATATAATGAAAGATTGCATAGTGCTATCAAAAAGATAGTATTATTTCAATAACTATTTTTTTTTTTTTTTTTTGAAATCCATTGCAATGACAACAGTTTGACATCTTATATTGAAACAAATTAATTGCGTGATACTGGTTTCTGAGTTTTTTTTTCGACAAGAAGTGTGGATGATTTAGAATGGAACACATAAAGCGAAAATTGTTAAAAGAAATATGTATAACGTTCATCAGTGACACCTTCAACCTGTCCCATGTAGTTTCAACCTCATTTTCTACCGATTATTTTTTTGTTAAAGCTAGGAAAGAAAAACTAAACGAAGGTTTCTACACAAACACACACTCTTTTTCGTACATCCTTTTTCTGCTTTTCGTTTCGTGATTCTAGAATTCGGAAAGCAAGTTAAAAGAAAAATGATTTATAAAACATCGTTATAAAGAAAAGAATAACAGCCATAAAAAACAGTTTTCCGGTTCTTTAAGTTTTTTTGGTTGAGTGAACGCTTTTCTCTTTCTTTCTTTTTTCGTGAAGAATTGAGAAGGAAAGTACAGCATTTTGAAATGAAAGTAGGAAAGGTTAACATTGAATAAGGAAAAAGTGAGGAAGGAAAAGAAGAAGCAATACTTTTGCCAACAAAGAAACAATTGAACATTGTGGATACCAAATGTGCTAAACTTCTGTTCTGGATTTTACTCCCAACAAATCCAAATTGTATATGAAAATTGAAACAAATTTTTATAACTGTTTATCTATACAATATCTTTCCGATTATGTATAATTTCATTCAATAATAACTCTTTCAAATTCATTTTGTTTATATCATTTTTGTTTTAATTGTAGAACCTTCATCTGCAAAAATTTTCACCTCTATTTCAATTTATCAACACAAAGGCGACACTAAATTTTAGAGATATCATTTCGAAATAATTTATGAATTCATTCGGAAGTGGTGAACAATAAAAATTTTAGCTAAATTTTTCAATTACCAGAAGAGTTTTTGCATATACATCACTAAATTAATTATCTTTAACTTGAAGGCTGTTTTCAATTCTAGTTTAAGTTCTCTTTCTAGCCTGAAATTATTTAGGTATAGAAAGTGATTGTTACTGTTGATTACATCTTTTCTCTAATATTCCAATACTATTTATAATGCTTTTCAAATGGGAGATGCAATACTGCTTTACATTTGTGGTATCCGCAATTAGTGGAGAAAGTAGAAAATGAAATGATTAACGATGATAGGTTTTAATAAAGAATACTGAAGTAAGGGTAAAAGGACACAAAAAGGATGATGCTGTTCAAACTGAAATTGCCTCAAAAGTTGTCATAGTTATGATCAAGGCAGAAAACTTCAAAAATTTTTTTCGCAATGTTACAAAAGAGAAAGCTGTAGCAACAAGAGAGAGAAACGGAGAGAAGGAGAGAAAGAGAGAGGAAGAAAGAAATACGTAATAATAAATTTCTCAAGCAAATTTTCCTTAATTTAAATTACTGTGTTTTTTCAAGATTAATTGCTATAAATCGTATGACACTAAATATTCTATTTGTTTTTAGATTAGATTTGCCTGTCTTTCCTTTTATCAATTTTTTTTTTTTTTTTTGTACTTCCTTTTGAACAACAGATTTTCAGCTTTTTGTTTATTTCTTTTTTCTTTTATTTTTAATGTGGACCATAAAATTTTATGCACCATATCTTTTTATTCAATACCCGTCTTCTTCCCCGAAAAAAAAAATCAAACGAACCATTTAAGGTGCAGTAAGAGGAGTACATATTGGTTCAGGACCTGTTTTTCTACATTAGAAAGGAAAGGGGAGTGCAGATACTGGGCACCAGTATATTCTTTTCACATCAAATTGCCTCCTATGCCTATTTGAAATACACTTTTTTAAGTGTAACTTATGCACATCTTTACCACGCCCCTGTCAATTTTTAATTTTACAGTAAACAAATGAGAGTCCAAAAAAAGTAAATATGACAGGAAGCTTTACGCTTTAAAAAGGTCTTCCAACCAATTTTAAAAAGAAAAAAACATGAATTGGTGCAGGAAACATATAAAAGCATTGTTATTATATCAGTAATGATAGCAGCACTATCACAAGTAGCGATATTGCTAACTATCGTTGTATCTTTAGCTAAAAATAAATGTATGAATACCTGAAAGTTGTGAAGCTTATTACTATTTCTCAAAACCTCATCACTTTACCTGTTACCATAATCTTGTTTTCTATCATTTTCTAAATGATAAAAATATTATGTAGTCTTCTTATCATTCTAACCATACTATACAGATCTGTCTATTTGACAGGCAATCTTTTACCCTAAAATTTTAATTTACTTATCGCTTATTATGCAATTGACTTATTCAAAAGTCAGTGTGTGATGTTATGTTTATCACATTGCGCTCATTATAGATACTGCGAAGTGATTTTTCCTGTTTTCCAATTCTTGGCTTTCCAGATCGCTTCATGTTTTATTTTACTTTAGGTTTCTTTAGAACAGGAAAAAAGGTGTTTCTTCTTGTTCGCCTTGAAATTATTTGTATTTAATGACTTATCTAATTCGAATTTTTGTGAACTCCAAATTTAATTCAATTCTTCTACAGTCTGCATCTTAATGATAACTATATGATATATAAGTAGATGCTAATTTCTTAAGCACTTGAACTATTTTCTAAAATTAAACTTGTTTTCATTTATAAAAAGGACAAACTAGACTTAATTACTTTGCAAAATATATTCCTTCCAACAAATAACAAGTTACTAATTATTTTTAGTTTTTTACTAATTATATTTAGTATTTTATTAATTATTTTCAATTGCAATTATATTGATTTCCTAATTTTTATCGGCACAAGCATGGCGCTATCACGTCATCAACAATTTTTGTTCTACAGGATGGCTCGGTGAACTAATTCTTAAATGATTGTGCGCTGAGAGTTGAGATTTTCACATGTATATGTTTTGTGACTTTGTTTATTTATTTATTTTTTTTTTTTTTTTTGTAAATACTTTCACTTCTGTAGAAAGTTTGTAAAAAAATGAGCAAGCAATCTGTCTGCACGATTTTCAGTAAACCTCTGAACGATAACATAGTAAGGCATTAGTAATGGCATTAATTATAAAGTATAAAATGCGCAAAAGTCCACATTCTAGGTTGAATTTGATTTTTATTCTAGACTGAAATAGATCAAAATAATTTACCAAACCAATATTATCAGGAAATTATTGCATTATTAAGATGAACCAGATTTAGGTCATTATTAAATTAGGAATCCTGCATGGATATTATGTCATATTGTTGATGAGAACTTGTTTTTATCGACCAATGAGATATAGTGATTCAACTCACATAATGACGATAAGTTGTACCACAATTATGGCTGGTGGTTTTTATCGAGCCTTTTTTTTTTCATTTTTTTTTTTTTTTTTTTGAATTTTACGAAAAAAGATCGAATCTTCAACAAAAGCAAATTAATGGTACCTCTTAGGAAGCAACCTATAATCTTATAATTGCATTAATCCATCTGCTATAACAAATCACTTCATCCAAATATTATTTGATGTGTAGACAGACAAACACAAACATAAACAATTTCCTGACGGGAATGTGTTATTTCTTATGAGGAGGAGAAAAATGAGGCGAGGTTGAAATGAAACTTGTTTCTGTTTCTTTTTTTTTTTTCTTTTTTGCATTACTACTAACTAATGACACTGTTTACTGCTTGCTACCCAGTGAGTTTGCTATTTTTTCGTTTGGTTTCAAAAGTCATTTTATTGAAATTCTTTTATCAAACAAATAAAATCAAAGCCAACTTCATTCTATTTGCCTTCTCTCTTTATTTCGGTAACTTTCAAACCGCTAAAGCAACCATTTTTCATCTTCACTTTTTCTTAAGTAAAAAGTGTAAAAATTAGATTTTGATCAAAAATGAAAAAGAGCACTAAAATTTGTGCAGATAATTATAATTTTTGTTTAAAAAAAGGAAGAATTTATTTATTTATATTTCTAGCAATCATTTCTGATCTTCTGGTCTCATGTGACTTGTGTGTAAAGAGAGTTTTTTTTTGAAATTCTTAGTCACAACTGGATAATGCTTCTTTGTAATTCGTATGCGTAGTGCTTACTGTTAGTTGACACCTTATTTTTCTGAACAAATTAATTAATCACGATTATATCTCAAATTAATTACTAAGCATAACTCTGTTCTAACTAATAGTATATTGATTGGATGTAGTTATCTGCAGGATATAGGCGTCAATAAGTTTCCTAAAAATAATTCGTAGCGTAAGCTGTCAAACTATTTTACTTAATGTAACTTTCTGTTATATTACCAATAATTACTAAGCTAGTGCAAAATTAAAGCTTCTATTTTATTAAAAATTCAAATTCGTTGATAAGTGTTATTGTAACGTATTTCGCAAAGACTTCATAAGTGTATAATTATAAATATTTGCAGCACAGAATGGGAATCGAGTGTGAGGAGTTGAAGAAAGTAGAAGCAGATGGGTTACGACGTTCAGCATTCTTTGGGATCGCAATTTCCACTGTTGCGACATTGACGGCAATTGTTGCCGTACCAATGTTGTACAATTATGTGCAACATGTGCAATCATCATTGGCGGGAGAATTAGATTTTTGCAAATATAGAACTGATGGGCTATGGAATGAATATCGAATTGTAATTCATAGCTTACCTTTGAAGTTTCTAGCAGCAATAGCACACAAGTGCTGGAAATCGAGAATTTTTCATGTGATTTGGTGGAACTTTTAAGAATTAGATATTAAATAATTAAAATAACTATCCCGTATTTTAATATTTAACAAAATTAGTTTAACTATTGGAAAATCTATAAAATTGAGAAAGTCTTTATTTTAGGTTGAGGAAGCTACTGGTTTGCAAGGAAGATTAAAACGGGAAGCGCGTTATCGTAGTGCAGGAAGAACAGGTCGAAAATCAGCTCGAGCACGTGGCACAGGGACCTATTTAAATAGTGTTGCAGGATATTTACCAACTGATGCTGGTGTTAAGACTTCACCACAAAATTTGCAAGGTGAAGATCAGTGCTGCAGTTGCGGTGTTGGAAATGCGGGACCTCTAGGATCTCCAGGGAATGATGGTGAGAAAGGTATGTCATCAGTGACCTATAAAAGATGGTTCAGATATTTCAAATATAAATCTCAATCTTCTCATTTTAACGAAACATGGCTGAACGGTACAACTTAGCAGACCTTTCAAATCTTTATAATTTTTAAACTATAAATGAAAGGTTGAAAGAGATTATTATTAGGAGCTGATGGAACACCAGGTAACGATGGTATCCCAGGGCAGGATGCCGCACCAGATGCTATGCCGAAACCCGAGGACTTTTGCTTCAACTGTCCAGAAGGACCAGCAGGACCGCCAGGTCCAATTGGGCTCAAAGGACCACCTGGACAAGCTGGCATACCAGGAAAGAACGGCGAGCCTCCAACACCAGGACCACCAGGTCTACCCGGACCACAAGGACCACCCGGAGCAGTAGGTGAAATGGGGCCACCTGGACCACCCGGTTCACCTGGACAAATTACAGAGACAGCTGGGACTTCCGGCCTGCCAGGACCAGTGGGACCGATAGGGTCAGCAGGACCACCAGGACTGCCTGGCTCACCAGGAAGTATTGTTCCTGGAACTCCAGGGTTGCCTGGGGATGCAGGACCTGCCGGTACTGCAGGAAATCCCGGAGCACCAGGGTTACGTGGTGAGATGGGAGTTGCTGGTATAGCTGGTTCATGCGATCATTGTCCACCACCACGCACCGCACCTGGATATTAAAACGTCTTGCAAATTGCTGACTAGATACTATGTGGAATTCTGGGAACAGCAAAAATTCTCTTGGATTTAAAACCGATAAAAAAATTTTAAATTCTAAAAAACCGAATTTGTTTTGTTTTGGCGTTTGGGCAAAGAAATTCTTGATGAAATTGTCAACTGATAATATAATTGTGTAGAACGCCGTTATCTTACTAATTATTCAGAAAATTCTTAACAATTACCCATAAAATATATTTTATGACTTATTCTCTCTCTATTTGCTAAATTTCATCACATTAAGTATTTAATTTTATGAAGGAAAAATTATTGCTTCAGTACTATATTCTTTTTACTTATTTATTTATTTATTTTTTGAAAGATACATTTGCTATAAATTTGAAATCTATTTGAGATAATTTTCTTTTCAGATGACTCTTTCCAAATTAGTCACAAAGTCTTAACTAGTAAATAATTATTTGGTAATGTATTTTGCACTCTGGCATTGCAACTCATCTATTCAGCATTAATGAATAAAGTTTTAAGCGATATGGTTTAAAATCAAGGAAGAAATTTAGTTTATAAATTTAAGTAAGCATTCATGAAGAAGTGACCTATCATAACTGAGGCCTATTTAACTGCAGACTAGCTTTTTTGATTTTACAATTGCTCAAGCATCATACGCATTTGAAATATACAATTGGCACCATTTTCATAAACTGCATAAGAATATGCACTTATACTCTTTGTCTCTCAAGTATTTTGCTAATTAGCACAATCTAAAATGATGAGAAGAAATTTGCAGCTGCTCGATAATCATATAAATGAAACAAATAAATCCGAAACCAACAATTTCCTAAACTTTTAAACATAGATCAAAGAATTTTAGTCTTTATACAGAATTATACCTGCAATATTTCTGAAAACTCAAACTCCATAAATTTAAATTAATTAGTTTCCCTTAAAGCAGCAAATCAGTTTTTCTTTGGCTAACTTGTCCTTTTTCCTCAACTCATTATTATTATAAAATATGCTAACTAAAAAAATCCTCCTGAAATTAAAATCACTTTTTGTGTCAAAAGGGTAAAGAAATCCGAAGAAAGGCTGATCTCAAATATCTCTCTTTTTTCCTACAAAATTAACTGCCTACCAATTTTATAAACCAAAAATCTCTTTTGAAACTTAATTTCCAACTTTTAGTTAATGTAGTGACAGTTAGGCATCATCAAAGAAAAATCAAAAAGATTAAATGCCTACGGATAAGTTCGGCGAGGACGGAGGATGGTAAGCGGCACAAAAATTAGTTTTCGATCAGGTAGATTTATAGCCTCGAATTAGTATCGGATCGCTCTGTAACGTTATGGAACACGTACTTGTCGTATCCTACTCAAACATTTTGCAAATTTATAGAAAAAAAAATATATAAGCAGTCGTGTTTATCGCAGACTTCTTTTTCTAACAAAGTAAGCTTTGAAATTAAATGATTTGTATTAAGTTGTTGAAATTTTTGAATTATAAACTGGTTGCCAATTATCTCTTTTCTGCCAATGAATCTCAATAAACCAAGGCAGCACTAATTTTAAGATATATTGCATACAAATTCTTAATGAGAATAATTTTTCATGATTTCCTTCAGAAAAATTTTAAAGAAAAAGATTTCTCAAATCTTTAAGAATACCTTAATATTATTAAAGATTTATAATCCTAAAGAAAAAGAAAGTTGATTACTTAATCGGTGGAAACACCAAATATCAGGATTTCTCGAGACAACCTGGAAAATAGTTTTATCCCTTAATTTTTGATGTTTGTAGACATTTAATGTGAAAAGTAATTGTAAAATTCCGTTCTCAAAATTCGAACTTTCAATCAAATAATATTTCGAAATCTTTTCCTTAATGATTTTTCCGACAACAGTTGATTTTCCTAAATAATTAAAACAAATCTTTTCCATTAGATTAAAAAAAATTTTTTTTTGAAATGGTTTCCTTTGAATTTAGGTTGTGTTTCCTCGGAAATAAGAGAATATTATTATTATTTTATAATTCGTGAGTTTGTTATAATTGCAAAGAGATGCTAAGTGCAAACATTTAATTAGAAATTTCATCCTTCAAATTCATGTCAGAGTTTATTTTTTGCATCGATTTCACCTTTAAAAAAGATGCGTAAGTTTAAGGCTGGTTTGAAATCACTTTTCAGTGTGAACTATTACTTAATAAAATATGATGCAGTTAACAAGTCAAGCTTTACCCCATATTTAATTTTTTAATATAAATCATCTAATATTCAGATATTTTTTGTTACTGGTCGAATTTGTAAATTTGTCAGTAATGGTAAGATTAAAGCTTTAAAAAATAATCATTTAAAAGTAAAAATTAAAATTTCTGCAGTCAGATATGGGATGAAATAATTTGTGAGAGCACTGTAAAACAGAATCCGTTGAATTATCATATAACTATTATTTAACCGACAAAATTTAGGACAAAATCGATTTGACCTACTTTTTTGACAAAGTTTAAATTTCATGTTGGGAAGTGGTTAAATTACATTCATAAACTTATTAGCACTATCTGCTATGATTTGTTTTTTAGATACAAATTGTTTGCACATGATACTGTTATTTACAAGATTAAAAAGTCTATGAAGCGTAGTTAGTGAACTGTCATTAGCATTGTTCAGTAAATCTTGTCGCTCATTCTTTAACTAGCAATTATTGATGATTTCTAAAAATTCCATAACTTTCTAAAGTAATGTATTATTGCTAATAAAATGCGTTATTGTTAAAATTAACTTCAGTTAATTTTAACAACTGCAAAGCAGCGCCATCAATATTGTTTGTTTTTCAATTTCTGCAATATTTTATTGTTGCTAAAGCATTTCCATTAAAACTACGACACATATTTTATCTTATAGTATTCTTTAGAAATTCCTAAATTTTCATTTGCTTCCCTCTTCATTAGAAGAAAATAGATACAAAATGGCTTGAGCATACGAATGGTAAATTACAATTAAGAACTAGCATTTAAATTAAAATTCAAATTTATTCCCTAATTATGTATTATTTTAATATGCAACACAATACGTTTTCTTAAATATATCTCCGCTAGATTAAATGGCAATTCTATTCGTTTAATCTCAAAATTGTTAATGATTTTTCATATGCTTGTAACACTATTTGTATGAAGAAAATGCAGCACAGTGGATGGAGGTTTGGTCTTAGCTACTGATCAACGGGTCTCACCGTGTTTACATAGAAAAATTCGATAATAATTTAATGGTCAAAAAAATCACCCACTTTTTGCTGAATTGCGGATTTTTTTAATCCCAGAGCATTTCTACAATCCAGATATCTTGTTGCACAATGAATATTTTACTTACCACTCGTCATCTGACAGCAAAAAGATGGTAAAACGTAAACTGGCACAGCTGATAACACATCCTTGCTATGTCAGTTCGCATGTTTTATCATTTTTCTATTAAACATTAAGAACACATTCCATTTTGCCATCATGATTAACAATTTTGCAATTGAAAAGGACTTCAAAGATTTCAAATAAGGCAGAAATGCATATCACAAATCTCTTTTGTGTTCAAATCATGAATAGCTCTTTGTTTTGCCTTAGAATTGCAGTTGAATTGATTGAATTGATGAAGAATTTAGAATGTGCATTAATAGACGATCGTCATGCACTGATATTGTCACTATACATCGGTTGTAAAAAAGGACTTGTTTTCTGTAGAAAAACGAATATATATGCATAGTTTTTGTTATCAACAAATTTTTGTTAAACAAAGAAGAAAGCAAAAGATTTTATTTAGAGATTTGCAGTTTAAATGAAATTTTTACTCGAAAAACTTAATTCTTCTTTATTTTAAACAATTAAACTTCTAGCCAGGAAGATTATAACTATATCAAATAAGTCTTGAATCTTGGAAATATCAACATTCTTTCACAGTGCACAGTTCATAAATCAGGAATATCTCTTTTAAGTAACATTAATGAGAATATAAAATGGAATAATTAAAGGATCTTAAAAAAGCTGTAGGAATGATTATTTTTTATAAGCCAAATGCCTTATTAGTAAGCTCCTTCAATTATATGCAAGAGTAAGTTTGAAATGTTTTGTTTTATTGAAATTATCGGCGAACTCTTCTCAACCTTTCAATAAAACCGTTCCAGAAATACTTCTGCAAGATGTAGAAGGGAGAATCGAATCTTGGACACAATTGATAAATTGATACACCTTAACGTTATCCCACATAGCATGATTTAACTTTTATTATAAATTCCTTACTTGTAAACTCTGAATTGGTTGAAAGCTGATATTACCAAATGTAATTACACAATTTGAAAAATAAGCAAATTGATTAAGATGTCTGTTCAACAATTTTATGATTTTTTTACTTTTGAATTAACCGAATTTTTCGAACCACGGCATTTTTTAATTGTTATTGAATGATCTACTGCAAAATTTTGTTACTAATAGCACAATACTTCATTATAGACAGTAAAATCATTTCTTTCAATCTGATTAGAACCTTCGATTTTTTTTTTTTTTTTTGACCTGAGCAATCTAATTTTATTTTTTAAATAAATGAGTAAGCAAAAAACGTTACAACCAACACAAATCTTTTTATTGTATTATTTTAAAAGGACTTTCAGAATATTTTCTAGAATCCATTCGCTCATTTTTGGTTTAGCTTGATAACGGAAAAATATTTCTGAATGAATTTTTATAGACCGTTATCATTTCTATATTTTTCTCAAAATTCTGTTGAACTCCAGAAAGACTGTTTTTCTATCGCTCAATGTAAAACGCAGTGCAAATCAACAGTTCCTTGAAATAATCATGCTTTTCCAATTTTCACATTAATAAAATATATTAAATAATAATTTTCTCCTGTCCAATTTCATTCAACTTCATCTATTCAATCGTGTTTAGTACCTACTGTATTAATTAATGCTAAACATCTTTGCAAATTAACTCATAGTAAATGAAAAATTTATTTTCTCGAACAAGAATGGG